CGCGGTCGCCGCCGCCGGACTTCCTCCGGGACCGGCCCGGCTTCCCGCTCGGCGGAAACGACTTCCGCCCGCAGGCCCCCTACGGCGCCGACTCGTTCCGCGGAACGGACGGCGCCGACCCCACGGCCTTCCTCGCCGAGCCCTCGAGCTGAGGAGACGACCGCAAATTGTCAGAAACCCCCGCCCGCCCCAATTCAAATGTACCTCACGCGCCGCCGACCGCCGACGGCGCAATTCAAACGTACCACACGCGTCGTCGGGGTCGGTGGCGAAATGTCACCCCCGACCCCGAACACGCGGAACGGACCCGCGCGCCCTCTCTTTCGTGCCTCGCGAAGCGCGCGCCGCGTCCCTAACGACCCATCGCACCGAGCTCACACGGTTACGGGGATGACGACGTCGCGCCCGTTGCCGCGCGAGAAGACGAGCTCGTGGCCGCCCGCGTAGACGCGGCGGGACCCGTCCGCGGTCGTGAGCGACGCGTCGATGGCCTCGAACGCGACGCGCGCGGACGCGCCGGGCTCGAGGGCGACGCGCTCGAAGTCGACGAGCTGCTTCAGGGGCACGGGGTGCTCCCGGAGCACGGCGGCCCGGAGCGGCGCCGAGAGCCGGTGGAAGACCATGAGGACCTCGTCGCCCGCGCGTTTCCCCGTGTTCGTCACGTTGCACGCGCAGGCGACGTTCGAAGAGCAGGCGCAGGCGTGGGCGAAGGACGTGTAGCTCAGGCCGTCGCCGAAGGCGAAGAGCGGCGCGCCCTCGTAGTAGCGGTACGACCGGTTCCTGAAGTCCATATCGGTGATCCTCGTCGTCGCCGCGTAGTCCTTGCCGTAAACGGTCACCGGCAGCTTGCCCCAGCGGTTCTCCCGACCGAAGACCAGGGCCGCGAGCGCGTCGGCGCCCTGGGACTGCGGGCTAAAGGCCTCGACGACGGCGATCGTCGCGTCCGTCGTCAACAGCGCGTCGACGCTCACGATGCCGCCGTTGCAGAGCACGATCACGACGGACACGGACGCCTCCGCGGCGGCGGCGAGCACGGCGAGCGCGAGCTTTTCCTGGACGCCGGGCAGGAGCGTGTCGGATCGATCGAGGGCCTCGTGCTCCTGCGCGTGCGTCGTGCCGACGGCGAGGATCACCGCGTCCGCGGCCGCGGCGGCGGCGGCGGCCGCGGCGATCCTCGAGTCGTCGGCGCCGTCGACGTCGCAGCCCGCCGCGTAGGTCGCCGACGGGGCGAATCCGCGGACGGCGTCGAGGAGCGACGGCGCGTAGGCCAGAGCCCCCTCGTAGGAATTCGCGTAGTCGGACCGGAGGAGCAGCCCGTCGGCCGCGAGGGGGCCGACGACGGCGACGTTTTTTGTGGCGTCGAGGGGCAGCGTCCCGCCGCCGTCGTTGCGCAGGAGCACGAGGCTCTGGAGCGCGAGGTCGTAGGCCGACGCGCGCGACTCCGACGCGTTCACGTCGTCGACGCCCAGGTCGTCCCAGGGCGTCGCCGCGTCGAGCAGCCCCAGCTCGAGCTTCTGGCGCGTCGTCCGCGCGACGGCGGCGTCGAGGGCGGCGAGCGTCGTCAGATTGTCGCCGAGCGCCTTGGCCAGCGTCCCGTCGCCCCAGAGGTCGTCGTTCCAGCCGCCGTAGACGTCGACGCCGGCCTCCAAAGCGGCCGCGCCCTCGTCGGACAAGTTCATCGCGTTCTTGGCCATGTTCGCCACGGCCGAGCAGTCCGTCATGATCACGGCGTCGGGCCGTTTCCAGGTCTGGCGCACGGTCTCCTCGAGGAGCGCCTTCGAGCCGCAGGAGCTCACGCCGTTCGGCGCGAAGTAGCTACACATTGCTCCGCTCGCGCCGCCGTCGACGAACCCCTTTTCGAACTGGCGCAGGTTGCTGTCGTGGAGGTCGAAGGTGCCTACCACATGCGTCGGTAACGATTTTCCATCGTTTTCCCGGTCAAAACCTCTCTAAGGTTGTCACGGTCGCAGGACGCTGGAAGGCGCTGAGCGGCGCCGAGAACGTGAAGCGGTTCGTTTCCACCTGTGCGGGTCTCAGGTGTGAACTCGCGGGGGGCGCTCACGGGACGAGGGCGGCCCGCGTCAACGGCACCCGCGGGTGGCTCTCGGACTCTCCGGGATTCTAAAAATAGCCCGCGAGCTCGACGCGGCGGTCGGGAAGGGACCGCCGCGGATCTCGCACGGTCCTCCGTCGTTCAAAATACGCGGGACGCGGCGCGGCGCACGCTGTAGGCGGTGTAGTGTTTGAGGTACGCCGCGCTCCGCAGGATCCCGCCCTTGCGCCGCTGGACGCCCTTCACGAAGGCCGCCGCGTACGCCCCGGCGAGGACGGGGTCCTCGCCCGCGAGCTCCGAGTTGCGGCCGTAGCCTACGCGAGCACCCCATCGCACCCATCCAAAACGAAGGAGACGCCGGTCGCCGACGAGGGTCCTTGACGAGGTTCACGTTCGGCCCGAAGCCGGTCAGGCCGACGGTCGCCTTGTCGTAGAGCGTGTAGTTCTCCCGGCCGTAGCGGCCCGCCGCGACGTTCGCGAGCGCGCGGAGCTCCCGGCCGATGACGTCGCCCTTCCGCTCCCAGGCGCTGCGGTTGAACGCCGCCGCGACGCCGAGCGGGCCGACGAACATCGTCGGGCACCGGCCGGGAGCGAGGCACGGCGCGGACACGCCGCTGTTCGTCTCCACGAGCCAGCGGTAGACGCCGAGGTCGGCGCCGTCGTTCGCGAGCGTGTGGCAGGCGCAGAAGGGCGTCTGCGTCGGCGAGAGCAGGGCGATCTTCTCGTCGGTGGACAGCTGCCCCAGCAGCGCCGCGACGCGCGCCTCCGGGGCCAGGGACGCGTCGCAGTGGGCCAACGAGCTGGCGCTGGGCCCGGCGCACGAGGCAAAGATGCCCGTCGTGATCGCCGACGCACGGGTCAGCGCGCAGAGCAGGAGCACGGCGCGCATTCCGGTAGCCATCAGGCACTTCACCGAAAGAGAAAGCGCGCTTCAAGAATCGCAAGACCTGGTAAAATGGTGTAATTATGGGCGGACTTCGGGCTGCCCTCGCCCTCGCCCTCGTCGCCCCCGCCCTCGCCCGGACGCTCGACGACTTCCTGCGGGGGGCGCTGTCCTCCTGCGGCTACGGCACGGCGGGCTGCAACTGCACGGACGTCCGCGCGGAGAACCGGGGCCTCGACGGCGCCATCCCCGGCGACCTCGAGGCCTGCGCGCCGTCGCTGCGCATCCTCAGCGTCAGCGGCAACAAGCTCACGGGCCCCGTGCCGCCGTGGCTCCTGCGGGGCGACCACCTGTGGAAGGCCTACCTCCACGCGAACGCGCTCTCGGGCCCGCTGCCCGAGGCGTACGGCGCGAACCTCGAGTGGCTGAGCCTCTACTCGAACGCGCTCACGGGGCCGCTGCCGGAAAGCCTCGGCGAGCTTCAGCATTTGCGCACCTTCGCCGTCTACGAGAATAAGCTCGACGGCACCGTGCCGGCGTCGCTCGTCAACCTCTCGCGCCTCGAGTACCTCGGGCTCAACGCGAACGGCTTCGCGGGCGGCCTCCCGGGCGGCCCCTACGGCCCCATGCTGCGGGCGCTCTGGCTCCAGGACAACGACTTTGGCGGCGCCCTGCCCCCGGCCATCGGGAGCTGCCCGCTCCTGGAGATTTTGGACGCGCGGAACGGCGGCTTCGACGGCCCGATCCCGGAGGCCTACGGCCGCCTGGAGCTCCTGCGCGACCTCTTCCTGGACAACAACGCCTTCTCGGGCACGATCCCCGACGCCGTCGCGCAACTGCCGGCCCTCGTCATGCTCCACGCGGCGAACGCGGGCCTCGCGGGCCCTCTCCCGAAACCGCTCTTCGCGCACGCGCGCCTCCTCGACCTCGACCTCGACGGCAACGGCTTCTTCGGCCCCATCCCCAACGTCACGCAGCCCGCGCCCCTCCGGAAGCTCCACCTCCGGCGCAACGCCCTCACGGGGCCCCTGCCGTCGCTATCGCTCGCGGCGAATCTGGCCGAGTTGGACGTCGCGCGGAACGCGCTCGTCGGCGTCGTCCCCTGCGACTTGTTGGCCCTGCCCCTGGCGTCCCTCGACGTCGAGGGCAACGCCCTCGTCGGCGTGGACGCGGGCTGCGGCATCTGCGACGACGGGCTGACCTGCGCGCTCGACGGGAATCCGTTACAATGCGGCGCCGTCGAGACGTGCGACGACGGCCGCCTGCCCTGCGCCCTCGCCGGCTGCCTCGCCGCGGCGGCGCGCGGCGGCGGGCGGGGGTACTTTTACGGGTGGCGCTGGGCCGCCGCGCTCGGGGCCGGCGTCGTCCTCGCGGGTGTGGCGGCGCGGCTCGCGAGGCGGCGCCGGTCCCCGAAGCCGACGGACGCTCACTCCCCGCTCCACGAGTACGAGCTCGGCGCGTCGGTCGAGGACGGCAAGGAGGAGCCGCCGCTGCGGGATCTGATGCTCGTGGCCATCGGCGTCGACCGAAGTTCGCGGATCACCGTCTGGAGCCGCGGCGCGCACGCGCCGACGATCAAGGACAGGCCCGAGACCCTCAACGACCTGCCCTTCCGGAGCGACGAGGACCGGCGCGTCGCGCTGGACGAGTGCGCGCGCGTGCTCGAGCGCCGGGCGAAGCCCCGGCCCTTCCCCCTCGTGCTCGCCGTGGATCTGAGGGTCGCGCCGCTGCTGGTCCAGCGCGCGCCGGACGGCACCGGCGCGACGATTTTAGGCAACGCCATGGACCTGAATCTCATGTCGCTCGCGACGCGGCCGGCGTCGTCGAAGGCGAGCTCCGAGAACGCGGCGCTCGAGCGCGCGGCGTCGTCCGTCTCCGGCGACAGCGAGCGGGCCGTGCTCCTCGCGAACGCGGGCGTGCGGGACCCGCTCCGCGCGGGTCGCGGCGCGCCGAGCTTGGATTCCCTGGGCGACCTGGAGCTGTCCAAGTGCAGCGGGCGCACGGCGGACGAGCGGCCCCCGGCGCCGCTCGTCGAAGGAGTCCAAGACATACCGCCGTGCCGCGCGCCGTTCCCGTCCGTCGTCGTCCTGGCGACCGTCGACGGCCGGAAGCTCCGGCCGGGCTTCGCCGTGGCGCCGCACCCGGGCGTCGCGCGCTACGCGCTCCCGACGAACCCGGCCTCCGAGGCCTACGCCTTCGACGTCGGCCGCGTCGACGCGGCTTTCTTGCCGGGGCCGGGCGTCTACGCGTTCGCCAAGGCGCCCGGCGAACGGGGCGTGCGCCTCCTCGTGCCGCCGCCGGGCGCGCCGAACCCGGCCTTCGGCTACGGCGCGGGCGACGCGCACTGGCCGCCGCTGCTCGACGGCAGCGCCGGCGCGGGCGGCACGCTGGAGCTCGGCAACGAGGGCGTCTTACTGCGATGGTGCGTGTTCCCGGGGCACGGGGTCCGCGACGTCGCCGCGGCCGTGCTGACGGCGGCGCGCGTGCCGCTGCCCTTCGAGTCGCTCTGGCTCGTGGCCTTCAACGCGGACACGGGCCTCGCGGCCTGGCTGCCCGATGCGCGGACGCGGGCCGCCCTCGAGGCCGCGGGGCGGCTCCAGTACACGTCGGACGTCGACGTCGTCGTCAAGGCCACGTCCGTCGACGGCGCGGCCTACCGCGCGGCGAAGCGGTCCCTGGTCCGGGCCCGCGACGCCCAGCGGGGGCTGGCGGCGGCGACGGAGGCCGTGCGGCGCCGCGCGCGCGACGTCCGCGCGGCCCGCGGGGCGGGCGGCTCCGAGGACGCGGAGGCGGAGGCGCGCGCGGCCATGGACGCGCTCCTCGGCGCGCAGGCGACCTACGCGCGCCTCAAGGCCGACATCCGCGCCGACGGCGCCGTCCAGACCTACGCGCTCGGGCGCCGCGAGCGCGCGGCGCGCCGCCGCCTCGGCCTCCTCGACGAGCGCGCGCTCCGCCACGGCGCGCGCCTCCGGCTCGTCCACATCGGCCACCGCGACGACGGCTCGCCGCTTTCCCGCGTCGCCGAGGACGTCGTCAACATCGTCGTCGCCTTCCTCGGCAGCCCCGCGGACGCGGGCCACGGCGGCCTCGCGCCGCCGCCGCCGCCGCGCCGCTTCTAGCTCCCGACGCCGCCGTGCGTGAGCTTCCTCTTCGGCGCGCTCGAGGCGACGCAGTTCGACGTCGACGCCGCGCCGCCGCGCTGCGTCCGCCGCTTCGAGCTCCCGTGCAATTCGCACGCCACCCCCGCCCCGGCATCCCCGCCCCGGCAATTCGCACACTCCACCCCCTTGAAATTCGCAGCTAAAATGAGCTTACGTCGGGCCGGTCGTCGAAGTAGTCGCCGAGGAGCTCGTAGTCGCGCGCGTACAGTCGCGTGATCGCGCGGAGGAGCTCGGGCTCGAGGTCGCGCCACGTGAAGTCGTGGGCCTTGGGCCGCGCGTTCATCGTCCGGGCCTCGATGCCCGTCTTGCAGTCCTCGGCCTTGAGGCGCTGGATCTCCGCCGTCAGGTTCGTCGTCCTGAGGATTTCGTCGCAGACGCGCGCGCCCGTTTCGTCGAAGACGTAGACGTGCTGGGGGATCAAATGGCAGTCCTGGAGCGGGTCCCAGTCGATCGTCGCCGCGTCCAGCGGCCGCTTCTTCATCTCCTTGAGCTTCTCCGGGCTGTCGACGAAGGCCGCGGGCCGGAACGTCGACCGCGTCCCGTTCCCCGCAGCCGCCCGACGAGCTGCGCCGTGTAGGCGTTGAGGCTCCTGGCGCTGAAGGCGACCTTGCGATAGAAGGCCTCGCTGAGCCAGCGCGACACGGGGTCGCGGACGAAGCAGACCGTCCGCCGGCCCGCGTAGGGGCTCGCCGCGGCGCCGTAGCGGAAGTAGCGTGGGGGCACGTGATGCCACGAGCACGAGCTGTTGCCGAGCAGCAGGGGCACGGGGATGACGCGCTTCGCTTTCTTATTGGTAAAGTAGGGGAAATAAAACGTCGCCGTCGTGCCTACGATGCACGGCGTAAACATTCGCGACGGCCGCCGCACGCTGGTAGGCGCCGCCGGTCTTGGGGATGTGAATGACTGTCGGCGATGGCGCTTTGGGCACGCAGCCCTTGATCGCCTTGCCGAGGCTCGCGGGCAGCAGCGACGCCGCGAGGAGCAGGAGACGCATGTCTCTTCGGCGCTCACGCGTCGACGATCAGCATCGATGCAAATTAGTCGTCACCATCGCGAGTGCATCATCGGACGTTGACCAATGCATCTTTAGCCTGGGCTGGCGCGCTTGGAGCGCGACAACCGGCGTCGCAGCGCGGAGGCATGGCCGCGGTGCTCGAATGCGCCGCCGACGGGTCGTTCGACCTCGAGAACGTCGCGGACGTCGACCTCGACCGGGCGCCGTCGCCCGCGAAGCCCGCGCCGCCGTCGCCGGCGCCGCCGGCGACGACGAGCGCGTCGTCGAGCGCCGCGGCCCACACCTACGATAAGGGCTACAAGCGCTGGGAGGAGTTCGACGCCGACGGCGCGGCGCTCGAGGCCGAGGAGGCGCCGGCGCCGGCGCCGACGAAGCGGGAGCACCTCGACGGCAAGCCCTCGGCCGCGCCGAAGGAGGCGTCCTCCGTCGACTTCTCCCTGCCGCTCTTCGAGAAGCTGCCCGACGAGCAGCGGCCCTACGTGGCGAAGATGCTCGACCTCGCCGAGGCCGACGTCGCGTCGCTGCCCGCGGACCAGCGCGAGCAGATCGAGGGCCTGCGGAAGATGTACGCCATCCAGGTCGCGGAGAAGGCCGCGGGCAAGGAGCCCGGCCGCGTCGACGCGCCGGAGCAGAGGGCCGAGGACATCGACTTCTCCCTGTCGCTCTTCGACAAGCTGCCCCCGGACCAGAAGGAGTACGTCACCCAGGTGCTCGTGCTCCCCGAGTCGATGATCGGCAGCCTCCCCGCGGAGTCACAGGACACGATCCGGTCCTTCCGCGACATGTACACGGAACAAAAGGCGCTGAAGAAGGCGGGCCCCGCGGCCGCGGCCGAGGCCGCCGCGAAGAAGCGCTGCGCGAAGAAGACGCCCGAGGAGGAGGCGAAGGAGCGCGAGAAGCAGCGGATGAAGCCCCTACTCCAGATGCACGAGGAGATGGAGAAGATGAAGAGCTGGCCGTCGTTCCGCGAGTCCACGGCGGCCTGGGAGAAGCTCGAGACCGCGCGCCTCGGCGCGCTCGCGGAGTCGAACCGCGAGCGCGACCGGCGGCGCGAGAGCAACGTCGCGGACGCGATGAAACACGTGAAAACCGCCGGCGACGCGTCGACGACGAAAGCGGCGAACAAGGTCAAGGGCGCCCAGAAGAAGCAGGCGTCGAGGGCCAAGGCCAAGGCCAAGGAGGACAAGAAGGCGCAGCTCGCCAAACTCCGGAAAATGGCCGCGGGCGGCCTCGCGCTCTAACTTTGTTAGTGGGCCATGGGGCGGTCGGAGAGGGCCTCCTCGTACTCGCCTACGTCGATGTTGCGGCCGGAGACGGTGCACGCGACCTTCTTCCCCGCGACGTCGCCGAGCTTGCCCGCGAGCGCGGCCGCGACGGCCGCCGCGCCCGACACCTCGGCGACGACCCCCGCGCGGAACAACGCGCGCGTCGCCTCGCGCATCTCCGCGTCCGTGACCGTCACGACGTCGTCGCAGAACGCGCGGACGTGGTTGTACGTCGCTTTCCCAGCGAAGGGCGGCGCGAGGCCGTGGGCGATGGTCTCCGTCTTGCCGCCGTCGGGGCACCAGGCGTGCCTTCCCGTCCTCACGGAAATGGCCATGGACTGGGCGCCCTCGGGCTCGACGCCGACGACGCGCGCCTTGGACCCGGAGAGCTTGTACGCGGCCGCGACGCCCGCGAGGAGGCCGCCGCCGCCGCAGCACACGGCGACGACGTCGACGTCCGGCTGGTCCTCGAGCATCTCGAGGCCGCAGGAGGCGTGGCCGCGGATGAGGTCGACGTCGTCGAAGGGATGGACGAGGATGCGCTTCTCCGTCGCGACGCACGCGGCGACGGCGTCCAGCAGTTCGGCGCCGGGCACCTTGGCCACGGACGCGCCCAGGTCCTCCATGAGCCGCTTGCGGTCGTCGGGCGCCGTGTCGGGCATGAAGACCTTGGCGTCGATGCCCGCCTTGCCCGCGAGGTAGCTCACGGCCTTGCCCGCGTTGCCCGCGGAGAGCGTGACGACGCCCGCGGACCTGAGCCGCGCGACGTCCGACACGTGGAGCTTGTAGCGCATGCCGCGGATCTTGAACGAGCCCGTGGTCTGGAGCGACTCGAGCTTGAGCGTTAATTTCGTGTCGCCGACGGGCCAGTCGTTGAGCTGCGGCGTGCGCAGGACGTCGTCGTAGCTCTTCAGGGCGTCCCGGGCCGCGAGGAGCTCGTCCTTCGTGGCGAGCTCCGTCGGGCTGCCCCACAACGCGGCGTCGTCCTCGGCCAAACCGATCGCCGCCATCATGGACTTGAGCATGTCGGCCATCAAGGATTAGAGCTCGAGCATAGGCGAGGGCTGCCTCTCGAAGATTGAATATTCAACGAAGCATGGTGCCGTAGGGATAAACTGGCCCGCAATCACGATGGCATCGCGCTTGCTCTGGGCTGCCGTCGCCGTGTCCCGGGCCAACGAGGTGGACAAGGAGCGCCTGGGCCAGCGCCTCCACGGCGACACCATCTTCGACACGCAGTCCTTCCTCGACGAGGAGTCGCGCGTCGTCGAGTTCAAGCGGCGCTGGGGCAGCTGGCCGCCGCCGGCGCTCGTCGAGCGCGAGCTGCCGAGCTACACGGCGGCCATGGCGCGGCGCGAGGCCGAGGCCATGAAACTCGAGGATTCCCAGGAGCGCTGGGACGCCTGGATGTTCATCGCGCAGGCGCGGCTCATGCGCAATTTCACCGTCCCCCAGTGGGAGGTCGTCGACGCGCCCGCGCACGTCCACGCGGCCGTGCTGGACAGGGTGCGCGCCTCCATGGCCGAGCGCGCGCCGCGCAAGGAGAAGTCCTTCAGCGGCGCGGCGCACTCGGGCGTGTCCGGTCCCAACGAGCCCGACTTCCTCGAGCAGGAGCGGCTGAACTACTGGGTCCTGGACCAGCTCAAGCCCCTCCACGAGGCCTGGGCGGGCGTCGAGCTCGAGCCGACGTCGGTCTACGGCGTGCGCCTCTACCGCGACGGCGCGACGCTCGCGGACCACCTCGACATCCCGGAGACGCACGTCATCTCGAGCGTCTTCCACGTCGACTCGCGACTCGACGAGCCCTTCCTGCTCGAGATCGAGGACGCGACGGGCACCTACGCGGGCGTGGACCTGAAGCCGGGGACCATGATGTTCTACGAGAGCGCCAAGTGCTTCCACCGGCGGAGCCGGCCCATGCGGGGCGACTACTACGGGTCCCTGTTCTTGCACTACCGGCCCAAGGAGTGGCCCTTCTCGCGCTACGAGATCCGCCTGGCCGTGCCGCCCCACTGGGGCGACGGCCTGGGCGGGCGGACCCGGGCCGTGGCCGTCGACGCGGCGGGGGACGCCGCGCCCGCGGCGGACGACGCGTCACCGTTCAAAGTGTCGTTCGCGCTCGGTTCCGCGGCGCCGGCGGACCTCCGCGTGCCCCTGCTCTGGGTCGCCCACGACGGCGCGGAGCACCTCATCAACACGCTCGACGCCGCGAACCGCGCCGTCGACGTGACGACCTTCCCCGGCCACCGCTTCGCCGTCAGGCCGACGGACGGCTCGGACCCGACGCTCCTCACCATGTCGCCCGCGATCCCCGCCTACTCGTTCTTCAACGACTAATTTTTACGCGCCGAAGAACCCCGCGATGTCCGCCTCGCTCCTGCCCTCCGCGCGCATCTTCTGCTCGATGGCGCCGCGCGGCAGGTGCATCTTCTGCATCATCGCGTCTGCGGGGGCGTTCGTCGGGGCGGCTCCGCGTCCGCGCGCGCGCGGCAGCCTCTCGCGCGTTCGAGGACGCCGGATTCGCACACTTCTTGTTCTCGGGCTTCGCCGCGGCGCCGGTGGGCGCCGCGGCCGCCGCGGCCGGGGGCGCCGCCGATGATGTTGCGGCCGGCCGGGCGGCGCTGGGTCGCGCGGAGGCTTGCGGCGTCTCGCAGAGCGCGAAGGCCATGGCGAACTGCGCCGCCGTGATCGTCGTCATCGAGCCGATGGCAGCAGGCGTTCCTGTTACTCCGCAATGTTATCTCTGAAGGCAGCCCATGCTCTACAGTTTTTCTACGGCAACGATGGTTCACGTTGTCGGCATCACCGGCGCCGTCCGGCTGCCCGGGCCCCGGACGCATCCCCCGGCCGGCGCCGCGGCATGGTTCTTTCTCTTGGTATGTGCACTTACGCGCTCGATGAGTGGGGGAGGGCTCGGGCGAGGAGGGGGATCTGGGGTGGGGGGGGTCGTTCGCGGGCGGGCTCACAGACCCGGCCGCGGTCGCAATCGAGAGTCGAATCGGACGAGCTGGAGGGGGCGCCTAGTAGCGGTCGCCGCCGCCGCCGCGGTAGCCGCCGCCGCCGCCGCCGCCGCCGCCGCGGTAGCCGCCGCCGCCGCCGCCGCCGCGGTAGCCGCCGCCGCCGCCGCCCCCGCGGTAGCCGCCGCCGCCGCCGCCGCCGCCGCCGCCGCCGCGGTAGCCGCCGCCGCCGCCGCCGCGGTAGCCGCCGCGGTTGTTGCCGCGGTAGCCGCCGCCGCCGCCGCGGTAGCCGCCGCCGCCGCCGCCGCGGAACTCCTGCTGCTGGAGCTGGGGCAGGTTGTCGCACTCGGCGAAGGCGAACTTGTCGAAGTTCTGCTCCTCGACGAAGCGCAGGAGCGCCGCGGCCTTGTCCTGGGGCAGGTCGAAGACGGCCGTCGTCGCGTCCTTGCAGACGCGCACGGCGCCGACGCGGTCGCCGTCGCGGCGCAGCGCCTGCTGCTCGCCGGAGACGCCCTCGTCGCTCTGGGGCACGCGCTCGAGGAGCTTCGACACCGCGTAGACGACGTCCGACGTCTTCAGCGGCCGCGGCGCCTTCATGAGGAGCGTGAGCTTGCCCGACTCGCCCGTGACCAGCGACCGGGGCGACACGTCCGTCTTGCGCGAGATGGCCGCGAGGCACTTGGCGACGAGCCGCTTCGTCTGCTCGTCGACGTCCGCGGCGTCGACGCCGAGCTCGGCCGCGCAGAGCGCGGCCGCGCCCTCGTCGAAGTAGGGCAGCACCGTGTCCTCGACCTTGGCCAGCGCCATGGACGCGTCGGCCGCGGCCGCGCCGAGGACCTGCGCCGACGACGGCGGGCCCTGGCGCGCGAACGTGACGCCCGTCAGCCGCTCCAAGGATCGGACGTCGCGCTCCTCGCGCTCGTCGTACAACACCACGGCCGTGCCGTCGCGGCCCGCGCGGCCCGTGCGGCCGCTGCGGTGCACGTAGCCCTCGGCGTCGCGGGGCGTGCGGTACTGGACGACCAGATCCACGCCCTTGACGTCGATGCCGCGCGCGGCGACGTCCGTCGCCACCAGGACCGTGAAGGCGCCCCGGCGGAACTGGGCGAGCGTCGTCTCGCGCTGGGCCTGGCCGATGTCGCCGTGGAGCACCTGGGCCGCGAGGCGCTGGAACGCCGGCCCGCCCGCGAGCTCGTCGCACTCCTTTTTGGTGGAGGTGAAGACGATGACGCGGCCGCCGCCCTGCGCGGCCTCGTCGGTCGCCTGGCCCGAGTTCTTGGAGATCTCGACGGCGATGATGTCCTCGAGGAGCGACGCGCGCGCGTCGGGGCCCCGGGGCACGAGCACGGCCTTGTGCGTCACCGTCGTCGCGGCCTGCTGGCGCGCGTCGCCGACGACGTCGACGAGCTCCGGGTCCTCGAGGTACTTGGACGTGAGCTTCTTGACCCAGGACGGCGTCGTCGCCGAGAAGAGGAGCGTCTGGGGCCGGCGGAGCGGGGCCGCGGCGTCCGCGGGCGGCGGCGCGGCGCCGAGGAGGTCGTCGAGGTCGAAGCTGGTCTCCGACCGGTCGCGCGCGGACCGCGCCGCGCGGGAGCCGCCGCGGGCCTTGCCCGCGGGGCACTCGGAGAAGATGCGCTCGACGTCGTCGGCGAAGCCCATGGAGAGCATCTCGTCGGCCTCGTCGAGGACGACGTGGTACGCGTCGGACAGGTCCAAGTTGCCGCGGTCGATGTGGTCGATGACGCGGCCGACGGTGGCGACGAGCACGTCGACGCCGCGGCGCAGCGCGTTCTCCTGGGGGCCGTAGGACACGCCGCCGTGGAAGCAGGTCGTCGACAGCCCGTGCGTCTGCGCGAGGAGGTGCAACTCCGCCTCCACCTGCTTGGCCAGCTCGCGCGTCGGCGCGAGCACGAGGATGGCGGGCCCGCGGGCGCGCTTCTTCGGGTCGTAGTCGCCCTCGCGGGCGCGCTCCGCGAGGCGCTCGACGAGGGGCAGGCCGAAGGCCAGCGTCTTGCCCGTGCCCGTGCGGCTCTTGCCGAGGACGTCGCGGCCCGCGTGCGCCGCGTCGAAGGTGAGGTGCTGGATCTCCGTCATCGTGTCGATGCCCCGCTGGGCGAGCTTCGCCGCCTGCTTGGCGTGGACGCCCTCGCGGCCCGCGATGAGGCGCGGGTCCGCCGCGGGCGCCTCGTCCGCCTGTTCCTCCGCCGCGTCTTCCGCGGGCGAAGGCTCCCCGACGAGGCGCACCTTGGGCGGCTCGAAGCCCTCCTCGGCGGCGTAGTCCAGCCCACTCACCGTCTCCTCGGCGCCCTGGACCAGGGACCGCCGCGCCACGTCCCCGAAGGTCCGCGACAGCGTCGGCCGCGCCGGCCGCGCCGCGCCTCCGAGGACGCGTGTCCATCCCGCGGCGCGACGCAGCAGCATCATGACTATCAAGGTTGTGCGCATCTAGAAGCTTGAGGGGGGCGCGCGGTGCGAGTTCCGACTCTCCACGTCCACCGCAACTTGCTGCGGGCGATGGTGAGCGTGGGCTGAGCGCTTCCTTCGGCCGTCCCGACGTGTTTGCACTTCAAGAGCGTCACCGGGGGTCGTGCCCTGGTCCGGGCGGCCCCGTGCGCCCGAGGCAGTCCGGCGAGCCTCGAGAGCACCGGGCTTCGTTATTCTTCGCCCCGTCTACGCGCAGGCAGTCGCGCGCCGCGCCAAAGCGGCGCGGGCGCGCGCGCGTCTTTTATCGCGCGCGCCCAATTTTCGCGAACTCAGTCCGGGAACGCTAGGGCCGACGGACGTAGCCGCGAGACTCCTCCAAGCACGCGAAAGAGGCGAGTCTGGACGACGTGGTCGCCGGCGCCCGACGACGCCGCGCGTCGACCGAGCTTGGCCGGGGCTAAATCACTCACGCAGAGCCCGCCGCCGCCGCGAGTAGCTCGTCGTCGCGCGCGCCGCAGCACCTGCGCCTGCGCCGCCCCCCGGTCCGGTCAGGATGGCCGAGCCCGACGAGCTCTACACGCTGCGGAACCGGTTCTGGCTCGGCAACTTCAGCATGGCCATCGCCGAGGGGAACCAGCTGTCGCGCCTGAGCGACGTGCTCGCCGTCGAGCGCGACGAGTTCGTCTACCGGTCCTACATCGGGTTGGGCCAGTACGGCCTCGTCATCGGCGAGGTCAACGAGGAGAGCGCCATGCCGCTCCAGGCCGTCAAGCTCTTGGCGCAGTACCTCGAGGACCCGGCGTCGACCAAGGACATGGTCATCATGACCCTGGGCGAGTGGCTCGGCGACGCGGCGTCCAAGGACCACCCCACGGTGCAGCTCGTCGCGGCCCTCGTCTACGAGAAGGAGGATTTGATGAAGGAGGCCTTCACGGCCATCCGCCACGGCCAGACGATGGAGCAACTGGCGCTCTGGGCGCAGTTCTGCCTCAAGATCCACCGCCTGGACCTGGCCCAGGCCCACCTCAAGAAGCTGAGCGACGCCGACGAGGACGCGACGCTGACGCAGCTCGTGAGCGGCTGGGTGAACCTGGCGACGGGCGGCGAGAAGTACAAGGAGGCGGCCTACGCGTTCGAGGAATTGATCGACAAGTTCGAGGCCACGCTGAGCCTCCTCAACAGCCTCGCCGTGTGCAAGATGCACCTCCGCGAGTGGGACGAGGCGGAGAAGCTGTTGCTCCAGGCCCAGTCGAAGAACGTCAACGACGCCGACACGCTCATCAACATGGTCACGTGCTACGCGCACATGGGCAAGGACGAGCAGGTCCGCGTCGACGGCGTCCCCCTGTCTGGCGTCGCGGCGGGGAGAGAGGAACACGCGCGCGCGCGCGTCCGGACGTCGACGCGGAGCCGCGCGGCCTCGCAGGTCATCGAGCGGCTCCAGAAGCAGATGTACGGCCAGCACCCGAACCACCCCTACACGCTCAAGATGAAGAAGGCCGAGGCCGAGTTCGACGTCCTCGCGAAGAAGTACGCCGACGAGGCCGGCATCGACCCGGACGACCCGCACGGCAACGGCAACGACCCCCAGCGCAAGCCGAAGGCGTGAGGACCCGTCGCCGTCTAAAAGTGCCGCCACTCTAGGCCCCCGGGGGCAGCGCGTAGGGCTCCTTGAACCACACGGACAGCGCGTAGCGGTCCCGCTTCGCCGCGCGGACCTCGTGGGCCACGACGCGCGACAGGAAGACGACGAGCCGGTCCCGCGCCGGCGCGACGTCGCGGTGCGCGCCGCCGCGCACGTCCCAGAGCCGCAGCGCGCCGCCGTCGCGGCCGCAGTCCCAGCCGGCGTCGTTGACGTAGTAGACCGCGGTCAACACGCGCGCGTCGCCGCCTGGGCGGGAAACAGGGCGATTCGACGTCGCGCGCGCGTTCCAGAGAAAGCATCGACGCGTCGAGAGCGCTCCGAGGGATGATCGCTCGTCCAAAAATCAGCCGAACCGAGTGGAACACGACCGAGAGAGGAGCCTTTGACGTTGGGAATGTCGCAGCCCTGGGACTTGCCCTCGTTGTCGACGTGGCGCTCGAAGCGCGCGCCCGCCGCGTAGACGCTGAGCATGCCCAGCGGCTGGGCGATGGTCGCCTCGGCGACGACGGACGCCGCCCGGGCGCCCCGGATGTCGCGCGCGCGGCGCCGCGCGCGGCCGAGCTCCGCGTCCACCGGAGGCCGACCTGTGTGCAAATCAAATCTTCAACCCGACTTCAATGTGCGCGTACTCGAATGTTTTGACACGAGCACTTCCGCCGTGCTTCGAGAACTCGCTGAGAGCAATCGATTCGTCCGAAAATCAGCCGAATTCACTTCGATTTGACCGAGCTAGAGAATTCTGAAGTTTGGCCCCGACGTCCCAGCTCACTGGTTGATTTGCACACAGAGGCCGACCCTCCGCGGCGAAGAGCCGCGGCCCGAGCTGTTCACCGAACTGTCGAAGCGCGCAGACGAGGGCGGCGAGCGCGGGCCGATGTTCGTCGGCGCCGTCGAGCCAGTAGATGGCGTCGGAGCGCCGCGAGCCGTCGTAACCGCTCGCGGCGCCGACGCCGACCTCCGCGGGCGCGAAGCGGTGCGCCGCCGCCGCGGCCTCGGCGTGGGCGAACTCGGCCACGGCGCCGCCAAAGCAGCCGTCGACGACGGCGACGCCGTCGCGCGCGACCGCCGCCGCGACGCGCGCCGCGACCGCGTCCGCGTTGCGCGGATCGCACGCGGCGAGGCCCGCCGCGGTCGCGCCCGTCGCGCCGAGCGCGGCGAACTCGACGGCCGCGAGGCCCAGCATGCGCCGCAGGCTCCAGGGCCAGCCCCAGTCGAGCAGGCCGTTCCGCGCGAGCGCGACGGCGATTCCGAGGAGCGACCGCCGCGCCGCGGGGCCGCGGACGCGCTCCGCGAGGCCCGCGAGGGCGACCTTGAACATGACCTGGTAGAGGGGCCGCGCGCTCTCGTTGCGGCCGTCGAGCTCGCCGTACCAGGGCTCCCGGCGGACCTCGGCCGCGACCGCGGCCGCGAACGCGTCCGCGCGCGCGCCGCGCTCGACGCCCGCGAGGATCCGCGACGCGTACTGGTCGCGGCAGCCCAGCGCCGCCTCGGGCGGCTGCGTCGGGCGGTACCGCGGTCTCATCGGCTTCGGCGCCGGCGGCTTCGGCTCCGGCGCGGTAGCCTTCGGCGGCTCCGGCGCGGTAGCCTCCGGCTCCGGCGCGGGTGTTGGCGTCGGCGCGGGCGCTGCGCTCCTCTTCAGGCGCAGGACCGCCACGGCCGGCTCGCCCCAGTCGACGTCGCTGACGAGCGTCGTCGCCGCGAGGGCAGCCCCGCCGACCGTGAGCTCCACATCGTCGACGGTTACGTCGCAGCGCTTCTTCTTCAGCACCGGTCCGACGACGCCGCGCGCCACGGACCGCGAGCCCCAGTGCTCCGGCAGCTGCAGCGCCAGCGCGCAGGGCGGCTCCGCGAAGGCGAGCTGCACCGTGAGTTTTTGCATGGGGGCCACCATGCCCCTGAACACGCGGCTCCTTTGGGTGCAATCGACGTGTTGAAGCATGCGATGGGCCCGGGCTGCACTCATACTCTTGGCAGCATGCTGCAACCAAGCTCGCGGGCTGCGCACGCGACCGGCATTGGCGCTCCGCGGCGGCGGTAGCGGCGACGCGAGCGCTGGCAGCGCATCGGCGCTCCGCGGCGACACCAGCAACCACACCGGCAACACCACCACCGTCGACCTCCGACGGCTCTGGCGGCTGGCGCGCTGCGAGCGGTGGCGGCTCGGGACCGGTGTCGCGCTCAACACGGCGTCGACGGCGCTGTCGCTCGCCGTGCCCCGCGTGAGCGCGCGATTGATCGACGCCAGCGTCGCCGGCGACGGCGCCGCGGCGACCGCGGCGACGCGCCAACTCATGGCCGTCTTCGCGTCCGACGCGGTCCTCGTCGCGCTGCGGACCGATGTCATGGTGCGGTCCGGCGAGGCCATCGCCGCGAAGACGCGCAAAACGGCGCTCGCGAACTTGCTGCGCCAGGAGTTGGCCTGGTTCGACGTCTCCGAGGACTCGGGCGCGCTCGTCGGCAGGCTCGCGGCCGACACGGCGGTGGTGCGCGGCGCCGCGGACGTCGTCGTCGGCGCCGCGCGGAGCCTCGCCGTGGCGTTCGGGTCGGTGGTCATGCTCTTCCGCGTGTCGCGGCCGCTCGCGAGGCTCGCGGTCGCGGCGTTCCCGACGCTGTTCGCGGCGGCCGTGCACCGCGGCGGCGACCTGAAGCGGCGGCAGGCCCGCGTACAAGAAAAGTTGGGCACCGCGGCGGCCCTCGCGCTCACCTGCGTCCAGGACCTGCGGTCGTTCCGGGTTTTGGGCGCCGACGGTCGTCGCCGGCGTCCGCGACGACTTTCGAGAGCTTTTTGACCGGGAAACGATGATCAATCGTCACGGACGCACTTGGTAGGCTGTCGCATGCCCGAGCACGACGCGGCCGTCGACGGCGCGCGCGCCGAGGCCGCGGCCCTGGGGCGATGCTACGCGATCTTCGCCGCGTGGACGGGCCTGGCCTTCCACGCGTGCTTCGTCGGCGTCATGGCGCGCGGCGCCGCGCTCGTCGAGCTCGGCGACCTCTCCGCCGGCGACCTCTCGAGCTTTTTGATGTACGCCGTGGGCCTGGGCTTCGCCGTCGCGGGCGGCATGGCGTCCTACGCGGAGCTCGCGCGGTGCGCGGGCGCCGTCGAGCGCGTCCTCGAGATCTCCGATCGATCGCCCGCGATGCGCGGCGGCAACGCGCGCGCGCCGAGCGCCGCGGGCGCGACCGTGTCCTTCCGCGACGTCGACTTCGCCTACCCGGCGCGGAGGGACGCGCCATTGCTCGCGGCGTGGTCCGCGGACGTCGCGGCCGGCGAGCGCGTCGCGCTCGTCGCTCCGAGCGGCCGCGGCAAGACGACGGTCTTCCGGCGTCCCTTTTTTTTTCACGTCGAGTAACGGCGCCTCCATAGGTCTTCCGCCTGTTGTCGCGGCTCTACGACGTCGACAAGGGCGAGGTGGCGGTCGGCGGCGTCGGCGTCGCCGCGTACGCGCTCGACGAGCTCCGCGGGAGCGTGGTCGGCGTCTTGCAGCAGGAACCGTTTGTGTTCAGCGGCTCGTTGCTGGAAAACGTCGCCTGCGGCGGCGATTGCGACGCGGCGCGGGCCGAGGCGGCGCTCCGAAGCGCGGGCCTCGGCGGCCTCCTCGAGAAGGTCGGCGGCGTCGGCGCGCCCGTCGGCGAGAGCGGCGTCGCGCTCTCCGGCGGCGAGCGCCAGCGCCTCGCGCTCGCGCGCGCGCTCCTGAGGCCGACGCCCGTGCTGCTCGTCGACGAGTTCACCTCGGGCCTCGACGAGGCCACGGAGCGCGAGGTCATCCGAAACCTGCTGCCCCACCTCGAGAATCGCACGGTCATCGCCATCGCCCACGACCCCAGGGTCCACGCGCTCCTGGGCGTCACGCGCGTCATCGCCTTATGATCCTTGTTCGGGGCGGCCCTAGGTCAGGTCGATGGGAGCGGCGGCGTCCTTGCCGGCCGCGGGCTCGTCCGAGCGCGCCGGCGGCGCCGCGGCGGCGGCAGGCGCGGGCTCGTCCGAGCGCGGCGGCGGCGGCGCGGGGGCGGGAGGCGCGGGCTCGTCCTTCGCCGGCGCCGGCTCGTCGAAGCGGGCGAGCCGGGCCTCGCGGACGGCGTCGACGTCGACGGGCGGGGCCGCGGGCGCCGCGGCGTCCGGCGCCGCGGGCTCGGAGAGGAACGCGGCGACGGACGCGCGGAACTGCTCCTTCGCCTTCTTCGACGAGCACGAGCTGTGGCGCGCGCCGTCGACGATGGAGTACGTCGGCGCCGCCCCCGATTCCGCGAGGACCGCCTTCAGCGCGGCGGCGCCCGTCGGCGCGCCGGCGCCGCGCCAGCCGGACCGGTCGAGGAACTCGTCCTTGGACCCCGAGTGGAAGAGGAGCTTCGCGCCGGCGTGGACGCGCGTCAGCGCCGAGACGCGCTCCGGCGCCTTGGCGCTGTCGCCGTAGAGCGGGTAGCTCACGAGGATGGCCTTGTCGGCCCAGGCGGCGCCGCGCTTCGCGAGGAGGCCCGCGACGACGCGGCAGCCGAACGACGTGCCGACGAGCACGACGGGGCCGTGCTCCGAGGCCTTGATCGCCGCGGCCTCGAGTTTCGTGATGTTGTTCGGCATGCTGTTGGGCCAGGTCTTGAATTCGGTGAAGGTGACGACCGTGCCCATCGTCTCGAGCACCTCGACGACGTCGCGCGACGGCTTCACGTAGAGGAAGGTTGTCGGGCCGGTTTTCAGGCGCTTGGGTGGGGCGGCGGCGATGGTGCCGCGCGCGTCGGCGACGGCGTCGGCGGCACGCTTCGCGCAGGGCTTGAGAAACTTGTCCATTCTGCACCAAGTGATGGTCGGGGAGGCACCTCCGCCGCTGGATGAGAAGTGACTCGGATGGATATTTCAAAAAATTAGCTCTCCATTGCCCCTCGTCCGTCGAGAGAGCTTCACTTTGTGTGCAACGTTTAAAGTTGAAGCGACACGCAGCTCTCGCGGGCTGCCCAAGCCGTACTAGGCGGCTATTGGAAATCCGAGTACTTCCCAGAGGGCTCGAGGCTTGTTTCATTGTCGATCCCAAAAGTTCCGCTGGAAGAGGAGCGCGCTCGCGAAGAGGAGCTTGCGCCGCCGCGCGTCGCGCACGTCTCCGAAGTCGACCAGGACGCGGCTCTTCTTCGCAAGATGCTCGCAGCAGGTCACGGGGAGGCGCGCGACCTTGCCGCCGGCGCCCCCCAGGGCGTCGTGCGCGGAGACGGTCGAGCGCTCCAGGCAGTGGCACCAGGCCATGCGCCAGAGACCTTTCGGACCGAGAGCGAACGCGTCGCTGCCGTCCGCGCTCACCGCGGACACCGCGCCCTCGCATCTCATCCACAGGCGCGGGTCGTCGCGCACGATGCCCAGCGCGCCGTCGCCGTCGGCGACCTCGGCGACCGCGGGCTCCGCGAGGCACGCGGTCACGATCGCCGCGCACGCGCACACCGAGAGCCACGTAAACGTCGGCCATGGGCTGCCGCACCAATGCCAAGGCTTGCTCATCTCCAGGAGCACGGGGCCCGCCGCGTCGCCGCGGGCCCTCAGCTCGTAAGCGTGGCACGGGGTGCAGCACAGTCGCCAGTTCTCCTCCGACGTCTCGCGCAGGAACAAAAACGGCTCGCGCGGCGCCGCCTCCGGCGCGACGTAAAACGCGTCCACCTCACTGCCCTTGGCTCTTTCCGCCTGCGTCACCACGACGCGCGCGTGGCCGCGGAAGATGTCATCGGCGTCCGCGCGAAGATCGTCATGGAGCTCCCGAACCTCTTCCCCTTCGAGCCCCTCGTCGCCGACGCCATCGTCGCGCCGTCCCACTACGCGGCGACGCACGCCTCCGTGGCCGCCGCCGTCGCGCGCGCGCCGAACAGGCCCGCCGTCCGAGCCCAAAAGGGAGATGTCATCGGCGTCCGCGCCCGGCTCGACGGCCGGCATCGGCTGCGCGTCGACGACCGCCGCGTTCGTCATTCTAGTTCGCGGCCTGCTGCGGCGGCAACGACGACGGGCTGCCGGGAGAATGCTAATGCTCGCTCGGGAAGGCTTGGCCAATCTCATGAGGGATCCCTAGGTCATCTTTGGCCGCAATCATTTGTGTGCACCGCCGGTCGGCAGCCTCGCATCCCGCTGGCGCTGCCCCAACTGCGGTTCGAGCGGCTTATTCGTTGCCGAAACCGATGAGCGGCACGGTCCTGCGAGAGACGGCGGCCCAGGGCGACGCGACTTATTTGCGGGAGCTCATCCTCGGCGGCGGCAACCCGTGTTCCAGCGACGAGAACGGCCTCTGCCCGCTGCACTTCGCCACATGGAACGGCCACGTCGAGTGCGTCGAGCTCCTCGTCGTCAACGATCTGGGCGTCGCGAGCGCGCCGAGCGAGGAGGACTTAAAGAAGCTGCGCGCGAAGGAGGACTACGAGGCGCGCATGGGCACGGGAAGCGCGCTCGCCGGCGGCGCGGGCCGGATCACCAAGGTCTCCGAGGACGGCAGGGAGCGCGCCAAGGCCGCGCGGAAGCTCGACGAGGCGCGGCTCGCCGCGGAGCAGGGGTCCACGGTCATCGGCGGGTCGCGCTACACGGGCAAGTCGCGGAACTGGCGCGAGGAGGAAGAGGACGCGCGGCGGAAGCAGGAGGAGGCGGAGGCGGAGAAGGAGAAGAAGAAGCCCATGGTGTCGTGCATCAACCTCACGACGAAGGCGGGCTGGACGGCGCTCCACATCGCGGCCATGGGCGCCTTCAACGGCGTCGAGACGGCGACGATCCTGCTCCTCGCGGGCTGCGATCCCACGCTGAGAGACGAGAACGGCCACACGGCCTACGACGTCGCCATCAACTCGCGCAACGTCGCCTGCGCCGCGCTCCTGCGGAAGCGGCGGCCCCAGTTCGCGGCGCGGAAGCGCGCCATGAAGGCCTTCCAGGCCCAGTTCGCCGTCGTCGAGCAGCCGTTCCGCGCGCCGCCGCCCTACTTCGACACGCTGGACGGCGAGTACGAGCCCACGCCCGAGGAGCTCGCGTCGGACGACGACGACGACTCCTTCGACCCGGACGCGTCGCGAAGCGACGACTCGACGGACGCCGACGCCATCGAGCAGCCCAGATCCCTGAAGGCGCTCAAGGCGCGGAAGGCGTCCGCGCCGCCGCCGCCGCCCGACGGCGACCCGGAGCCCGCGAAGCCGCCGAAGCCCCTCGGCGGCGAGCCCGACGCCAAGTCCTTCGTCGCCGAGGAGGCGGCCTTCGACGCGGCGCACAAGATCCGCATGGCGCCGCCGCCGCGGGAGCTGACGATCCCCGAGCACCTCATCCTCGTCTACGCGAAGCGCAACTTCAGGGGCGCCCGGGGCGCGCACGTCATCCACAACCTCCAGTTCGCCACGGAGGAGGCGGAGAAGAACCTCGCGCGGCGCCAGGCCCTCGCGGACAAGCAGGAGGAGGTCAAGCCCACGCACGTCAAGGAGAAGGAGGCGCGGAACCGGCTCTCGTCGAACTCGAACCGGCGCACGGTCGTCGAGGGCGTCGGCCAGATCACGGCCCTCGCCGGCGGCGGCGTCGACGACGCCCGGGCCGCCGCGAAGCAGAAGCTCGCCGCGAAGGCTACAGCGACGTAAGCCGGGGCGCCTAGTTCGGGTAGCTCGCGAGGTACGCCGTGACGACGTCGTGGGCCTTGACGGCCGTCGACGCGGCGAGCAGCTTCGGGAACTGGTCCATGTAGGTCGCCGGCACGTAGTCGAACTGGCCCAACAAGATCATGTCGACGACCATGAGCAGGTGGAGGTCGGCCATGGTCAGCGTGTTCTGCAGGAACGCCGAGTCCGTCTTCGAGTACGTCTTCTCGAGGAACGTCATCGCGCGCAGCATCCAGCCCGCGGCGTACTCCTCGCGCAGCGCCTTCTTCTTCTCGTTGTCCGGGTCCTGGGGGCACTTGCCCAGCACCTCCATGAACGACGTCGCGACCATGTCGACCTCGAGCGCCGCGAGCGCGTCGTCGGGGTAGAGGCCCGCGACCTTGGCCGCGTAGCGGCAGATGGCCTCGGACTGGCAGATTTGGGCGCCGTCGGCGAGCGTGAGCACGGGCACGGACCCGAGCGGGAACTTGCCCTCGGCCTTCATGCTCTGTTGTGTGGCGTAATCTTTCAAGCGATCGTCCTCCCAGCCGTCCTTGCCAAAGGCCTTGAAGAGGCAGATCCGGCAGGCGACGGCGCGGCCGCCCGTGTCAAAGTACGTGAACTTGGGCTTCGACATGGTGATGAAAGCGGAGAGCTCGGCGAGGTCGTCGGTGACGATGAGCTCGTTCTAGCGCCACAGAAGCCGTTCAAGAACGTTGTTTACCTCCTAACCTTGAACATCAAGGACTTTGCGATGGCATGATCTGATGCCATGAGGGCAGCCGCATTACTAGTCGCCGCCGCGGCCGCCTGCGACCCGTCGCTGCCGGACAGCATCGCCTGCCGCTGGGCCGGCGCCGTCGCGCGCGCGCCGACGAACGCGACCTGCGGCGGCGGCCTCTGCCGCGTCGCCGTCGTCTACTACCGGCCGCCGGCGCTGTCGTCCGGCGACGTGGGCCTCGAGCAGGCGGTCAAGCTCTGGGCCGCCGGGACGCGGCGCGAGCTCTCGCTCCTCAACGTCCACGACCTCGAGGGCGCGACGCCCGCGTTCTTCGGCGAGCTCTGCGAGTTCCTGCGGCCGCGCTTCGACCACGTCGTCGTCAAGAGCAACTGGGACTACGTCGTCGACACGTTCTTCCGCGACCACCTCTGGGCGCGGGACGGGTCCGCCTGCGCGCTGACGCGGAGCCTGCAGGTCGCGGGCTCCTACCCGCCGCCGGGGACCGCGCCGCGCTTCTACGACGTTCTCTACTACGAGGCGCCCTGGTACCTCGGCGCCTTCCTGAGCCGCGGGCGCCACCGGCGGCCAATCCACGCCTTCGGCGTCGACGCCGACGCCGTCGCGGACCTCTGCGCCGCGGCGCGCGCGAACACGGCGGCGGAGGAGCGCTACGACTTCCTGTTCGTGGGCGCCTTCGCGGACCACGCGGGCTTCGAGCCGGGCAGGAACATAGTCACCCCGACTTCAATGCGAGAGTATTCGACCGCTTCGACGCAATGTCTCGTGCTCTCCGTCGAGAACTCGACGAGAGCAAAGGACTCGTCCAAAAATCAGCCGTATCGACTTCGATGTCACCGGTCGTTTCCCACGCAGGCTTCAAGCGGCCCGAGGCGCTGGCGGCCAAGCCGGGCCGGCGCCTGGCCATCGGCAAGATCCGCGGCGACGACGGCGCCGTGTCCGACGCCGCGCGAAGCGTCGTCGACGCGTTGACGACGTCGGGCGCGGAGGTCGAGGACGCCGTGCCCTGGGCCGAGCTCTTCGACTTCTTCGCGCGCGCGGACGCGGTCTTCGTGCCCGACGACTGGCGCGGCGGCGGCGAGCGGGCCGTGCTCGAGGCGCGCGCCTGCGGCGTCCGCGTCGAGGTCGCGGCCGACAACCCGAAGCTCGCGAGCCTCGTCTCGTCGCCGACAGGGCAGGAAAAGAGAGCGAAATTCCCAACTTCTAAGGCTCATATCTCGGCCGGTTTCCACTCGTTTTGGCTGATCTTTGGACGAGCGATCATCTCTCGGAACGGTCTCGAAGCGTTGATGCTTTTTTCGGAACGCGCGCGCGGAACACTCACGTTGAAGCGACGTTGAATCACTCTTTTGCTGCCCAGGTCGCCGATCTACACGCCGCTCTACTACGCGGGGCAGCTCGAGCTCGGGCTGCTCGCCGTCGAGGCGGCGCTCGCGTCGCCCGACGACGGCCGGCCGGAGACCTGCGGCGTCGGGGCCGTCGCGGGGCGGCGCGGCGGGTGCGCCGCCGACGACCGCGGCCTCCGCGCGCGGCTCTCGGAGCGGGACCTGTCGCGCGCCGCGCCCCGGAGCGAGCTGTAAAGGAGCTTAGCCCATCTCGACGGTGGGCGTCGGCGCCGCGGGCGCCGCGGGCGGCGCGGGCGGCGCGGGCTGCGCGGGCTGCGCGGGCTGCGCGGGCTGCGCGGGCTGCGCGGGCTGCGCCGCCGCCGGCTGCGCCGCGGCCTGAGCCATGCCCGGCGGCAGGGGCTCGGGCGCGGGCGGCGGCGGCGGCGCGGTGCCCGGCGGCGGCGCGTAGGCGCCGTAGGTCGCGCGGGCCGCCTCCTCGCCGTACCAGCCGACGTAGTTCCAAAAGTCCTGGTAGTAGGCGTCCGGCGCGAGCGCCGCGGCCGGCGCGGCGGCGCCGTAGCCGTAGGGGTCCGCGGCGTAGGGGTCCGCGGTCTGCGCGTACGGGTCGACCATGGCCGAGCCCATGCCCGGGTTCCGCGTCTCGTGCTGGCCCACGAGCGCCGCGATCTCGTACTGGGCCCGCGTCCGCGCGTCGGGCACCCGCCGATCATGATGTAGCGCATCGGCGGGTCCGTGCCCGGCTGCGCCTCGTTGGGAATTTGGATCCGCGCGCCCGTCGCCTGCTGCAGGCGCGAGATCGTCTCGCCGCCCTTGCCGATGATGAGGCCCACGCAGCCCTCGGGCACGGCGTAGGGCGTCGCGGGCCCGAAGACGGGGTCGTCGGCGAGGCCGCCCGCGTGGCGCTCGAGCTCGTTCGCGAGCAGCTGCTCGATCTCCGCGCGCGCCTCGTTGACCGCGTACTGCGTGTCCGCGGCGATGGTGATGGTCCGCGCGTTGGGGTTGTGCTCGTCGGCCTGGGCCGGGATCTTCACGTGCGCGCCGGACCGCTCCTGGATGCCCTTAATGGTGGAGCCCTGGCGGCCGATGATGAGGCCGACCTTGTCGTTCGCGACGACCAAGTCGACGGCGACGGCCGCGTTCGCCGGGTTCGACGCGCTCGAATTCTGGCGCGTGCGCAGCATGTCGTCGAGGTCGCGCTTCGCGCGGTCGATGCCCTCGGGCGTGCCCGTCATCGCGATGCGCCGCGTCTCGACGGCCCGGGCGTCGTTCGGGTCCTTGGGCTCGGGGTCCGAAGCGATCTGCACGCGGACGCCGCACTCGTACTGGAGCCGCTTGATGGTCTCGCCGCCCTTGCCAATAACTAAGCCGACCATGCCGTTGGGCACGCGCGCCTCGTACGTCGTCTCGCCCGCGCGCGGCGCGGCCGCGACGACCTGTGTAGCAAAATCAACCAGTGAGCTGGGACGTCGGGGCCAAACTTGAGAATTCTCTAGCTCGGTCAAATCGAAGTCGATTCGGCTGATTTTTGGACGGATCGATTACTCTCGTCGAGTTCTCGAAGCACAGCGGAAGTGTTTGTGTCAAAACATTCGGATACGCGCATATTGAAGTCGGGTTGAAGATTTGATTTGCACACAGGCGACGACCTGCCACGACGGCGCGTCCGTGGAGAAGTCCGCGCCGCCGTTCGTCAACGCCAATTGGCCGTCGCCGGCCTGGAGCACGCTCAGCTGCTTCTGCTTGAGGCGGTGGCGGCTCTGGGGGTCGTGCAACAGGCTCGACACCTCCTTTTCCGCTTTCGCGACGGCGTCGTAGGGGCCCTCGATGGACACGTGGAGCGGCAGCTCGTCGTCCTCGTGGGGCTCGTTGCGGAAGCTGCGGGCCGTGCCCTCGCGGTTCGAGCCCTGGCCGCGGATGATGATCTTGCACTGGTGCCGCTCCTGCATGTCGCGGAGCGTCGCGCCGCGCGGGCCGAGCAACAGACCCATGAAGTTGACGCCCGGCTGGTCCGTGGGCACGAAGACCTTCTTCGCCTCCCGGGGCACCTCGTGGACGGACATGGCGATGTGGACCATGAGCATGTGCTCCTCCATGCAGGGGTCCCAGCTGAACTCGAACTTGGGCGTCGTCCGCGGCGGCGCGTCCGGTTCCGGCGGCCGCTGCGAAGCCGCGGAGGAGAAGCCGCCGCCGTAGCTCGAGCTCCGCTGGGCGGGGGCGGCGTTCTTCGCGCGCAGGGCCTTGACGGCCTCCATGGCCATCTGCGCTGCGGCGCTCAGCCGCGTCGGCGGCTGAGACGGCGCGGCGCTCGAGAAGTTGCCCGCGGGCGGCGCGCCGCGGCGCCGGGCGGCGGCGCGTCGCTGAAGCCGCCCCGCCGCTGGCGCTTCGGCTCCGGCGCCGCCGACGGGCCGTCGCTGAAGTTGCTCTTGCGCTGGAGCCGCGCCGCGATCTCCTTGGCGCGCTGGAGCGCGTCGTTGCTCGACATCGTCGTCGGCGGTGCGCGCGCGCGGTTGCGGTCGGCGCGGCACGACTTGCGCGCGCTTCTTCCGCGGGAGTTTGCGGATCGAGGCGGCGGCGCGCGTCGCGGTCGCGGCGGTCGCGGTCGACGCCTGTGGCGATGCGCGTCGAGCTCGGTCTAGACGCGTCTGCGATCGCGCGAGATGGGTTGTGGCAAGACGGCCCGCGCCGCGGCGCTCGTCGCGCTGCTCGCGAGCGGCGGCGCCTTGCGCATCCGCGACCCCTTGAGCATCCGCCCGGTTCAGCCCGAGGAGCACCTGCGCTTCGCGCGCTTCCGCGCCGCCGCCTTCTCCGGCACGTCCAAGGCCGGCGCGGCGCGCGTCATGGCCGTGCACAAGCTGGTGGAGGAGCGCGTCGCCAAGGGCAGCACGATGATCGTCGCCCTGGCGCCCGTCGACGACGCCGGCGCGGACGAGGACGAGGAGGAGGTCGGCTGGCACCCCGGGCTCGAGTCGACCGCGCCGCTCCAGGCGTTGACCGGCGCGCTCGCGTCCATGTTCGGCGACGACGACGCGACGACGGCGGACCAGCGGCTCGACGACGCCTGCCGCATCGTCGGCGTTTGTGATTTGAGTGTGCACGAGTTCGACCTGCCGACGCACACGCTGTCGCCGGACTACGGGTTGTACCTGACGGCGCTCGCGGTGCACCCGGCGTACCGGCGTGCGGGCATCGCCACGGAGCTTCTGACTTATGCCGACGACCTCGCGCGGTCGCGCAGCCTCGGCCAGCTCGTGCTCCACGTCGAGACGGACAACGACGACGCCGTCGCGTTCTACGAGGCGCAAAAGTTCCGCGCGACGCGGCCGGACGACCAGATGCGCCAGTTCGCGCGCGCGCTCAACCTCAACCCGGAGATCCACGCGCTCTACACGCGGCCGTCGACGCCCGGGTAATGTGCGTGATGCTTAGATTCCGGCGCCGCGAGACCCGTCGGCGAGGTCGCGGTTTTGGGCCATCAGTAGCGCGGCTGCGCGGTCCGCGGCGCCGAGCGTGTACCAGGGCTTCTGCCAGAGCTTTTTCGTGGGCGACCGCGTGGGCGCCGCCGTCGGCGTCATGCGGAAGCCGCGGTGGAGGATCATTTCCGGCCGAAAGAGCACCTCGGGCCAGCCGGCGTACATGGGCTTCCTCGCGGCCGCCGACACCGTGCTCGCGTACGCCGGGTCGTGGAGCTCGTAGAGCCGGTCGAAGGGGCATCGGAGCGAGTAGAAGTAGCCCCGGAGGACGCGCTCGCCGGCCCGGAGTCGCAGGGGCTCGCCGCGCTCGTCGAAGCACGACGCCGTGACGCGGTCCGCGTCGAGCGTAAGCCACGGGTCCGGCGCGAGCTTCGCCACGTAGTACTCCATGTTCGGGTCGCCGTGATTTTCAAACATCACGTTGGCGCCGCCGACGAGCGGGGCGAGCCCCCGCGTCTCGCTCGCGGGCTTCGCCGGCGTCGCGGCGATCGCGATCGCGGGCGCGGCGGGCGCGGGCGACCACAAAAATTGCGTCGGCGGCGAGGCCTCAAGTTCGGAGACGACGACGTCCTCGTCGCCGACGCGGATCGGCCGCTCCGGGTCCTCGCACCGCGCGCCGACATCGGTCGCGCCGCGCGCCGCGGGAGCCGCGGCAGGTGCAGGACTCGGCGCCGCCTCCGCCGCCGCGGGAGCGGGCAGCGCCGCGGGAGCCGCGGCGGGCGCCGGACGAGGGGCTATCTCTGTCAGCGCGGGACCTGGCGGCGGTTCGAGAGCCGCCGTGGGCGCGGGAGCCGCCGGCGCCGCCGCCGCGGGAGCCGCCGCCGCGGGAGCTTCGACCTCCGCGCGGGAAAAGTACCGGAGCGTCCGCGGCGCGGGGAGCGGCGCGAGCTTGAGCTTCGTGAGCTCGAGCAAATCCGCCGTCGCCTTCTCGGAGGCTTTCAAGGCGGCGTCGCGCTCCGTCTTCAAATTGTCGACGAGCGCGCGCCACGACCGGTCCGTCGCGAGCGACCCGCTCTGCCACTCGACCCAGTTGTCTTGCGCCTTCGCCTCGACCTCGGCCTGGGACCGCTTCAGGGACGCAAAGGCGGCGTCCGCCGCGTCGGCGCGAGCGTCCGCCGCGTCGGCGCGGCGCGTCGCGGCGTCCGCCGCGGCGGCGCGACCGTCCGCCGCGTCGGCGCGGTGCGTCGCGTCTCGCTCTCTTTGGCGGCTCGCCGCAGCCCTATGCGTTAAAGCCGCATAGTCCGCCTGGAGCTTCGCGTAGCGCGCCTCGAGCTCCTGGTGCGCAGCTTGGTGGTTGACGGCGACGGCGCGCTCCGCGTTCACGAGCTGCGACGTGTCCGCGTAGAGCTTCGAGTAGTTGCGGCTCCAGTAGTCTCGCGCCGCCGCCGCCGCGCCGCCCGCGGCGTCGGCCGCGTCGGCCCGGTCGAGCACGTCGCCTCGCGACGCCACCGCCGCGCTGCTCGCGGCGTCGGCCGCGTTGGCGCGGTCGAGCATGTCGTCTCGCGACGCCAACGCCGCGCTGCCCGCGGCGTCGGCCGCGTTGGCCCGGTCGGAGGCGTCAGCCTTCACGCGAAGCAATTCCCCCAAGGCGGTCCCGATGGCTGCGTCGGCCGTCTCCTGCGCGAAGTCGCGCTCGCTCCGCATCGCCGCAAAGGCGGCCGCGGCCGCGAACGACGAGTCGTCCGCCGGCGGCGACGGCGCGCTCCCGGGTCCCGGCGCGGGGACCAGCTCGACGTCTGCCGTCGGCGGGGGGCTCGTCGCGGGCGGCGGGGACGGCGCTCGCGTGAGGTTGGCGACCGCGGCCAAGTGGCTTCGGACCGAAAGCATGCCACGCGCGCTTGGAAAGTGACCGCAATGCGTTTTGGCTGAGTGTTTACATCGTTCCCAACCTCTGGGTATATCCGCCACCGTCCACTCAACCTCGTCACACACGTCGCAGCGAACTGTTCGCCCGTCGACGGCGACGAGCTGGCGGCGCTCGACGCCGTCCGCATCTCGAAACACATTCTGTAGCAGACCAGCCCCTTGCGAGCAGATGAGCCCGTCGAGCTGCGCCTGCAGGGCCTCTCGCAAACAGTCGTCCGCAGCCGGCGACAGAGCGGCGGGGCCCAGCGCAACGTCATCCTTTGGCAAAGGCAGTGCGATGCGAGCGACTTCGGCCATGTGCTTCTGGACCACACTACGGTAGTGAGCACTTGGGTGTTGGCCGCAATGCGTTTTGACGGAGATCCCGAAAGCAGTCCAATTGCTCCTTCCACCCGTCACCGTCCACTGGAAACCGTCGCAAAAGCCGCAGCGGACAGTTCGCCCGTCGACGGCCACGAGCTGGCGGCGCTCGGCGCCGTCCGCGGTTCGAAAGACATTCTGCACCTCGCCAACTCCCTCAATTGGAAAGCAAAGGAGTCCATCAAGACGCTCCTGCAAAGGTTCCGGCGGCTCCGGCGCCGGCGGCGGACTCAACTGCTCGTCGCGGACTTCGACGGCCGCGACGTCCGCCGCCGGCTGCTCGTCGGCCTCCGGCGCGGCGTCGGCCTCCGGCGACGCGCGAGCCTCCGGCGCGGCGTCGACCTCCGGCGACGCGCTCGCCCGCTCGCTGGGCGGCGGCCCGCCCGGCGGCGCCGCTTGAATGGCCGGAGCGCGCTCGCGTCGATGCGGCGCTCGACGGTCGCGTCGTCGTCGTATTTGACGTCGTAGGTCGCCGGCGCGCCCGAGTGCACGTTGATGACCCGCGCCGGATAGAACTTGTGCTGGCCGCGCCAGAGGCCCTCGACGGCGTCGCCGACGCCGTAGAGCGGCTTCCGCTCCGGCGCCGCGGGCGGCGCCGCCGCTTCCGGAGGCGGCGCTTCCGGCGCCGCGGCCGGCGCTTCCGGCGCCGCTCGAGACGGCGCGGCCGGCGCCGCTCGGGACGGCGCGCAGTCCGCGCAGGCGAAGGGCAGGGAGATGCCGCAGCCCTCGTGGCCCCACGAGCTCCCGCAGACGCGGCAGCGCCAGAGCGCCCAGCGGTCCTCGCCGTCGGCCTGGTCCCGGCGCCGCATGAGCCCCGTCGAGTCGTAGCGCCGGCCGCGGGGGCACCGGCACGTCGCGAGCGAGCACTTCGGCGTCACCGCCGCGACCTCCTGCGTCGCGTAAAAGGGCAGCGCGGCGCCGGCCTCGACGCCGCGCGTCCGCGCCCAGGCGACGAAGGCGTCGTCGTCCTTGCAGAGCGGGCAGCGGAAGAGCGACTGCGACGCGACGCCGTGGCGCCGCAGGCAGTCCACGCAAAACGAGCCCTGGCCGCCGTGGCTGCAGCACGGCGGGTCCAGCAGCGACGCATGCGGTTCGAAGCAGAGGCAGCACTCGCCCACCCAGAATGAACCGAACTCGATGTCGGGCAGCGACGCGACCTCGACCTCCATGTCGCGCTGATCCTCCGTCAGCCGCTACGCGCCGTGCAGTATGAAAATGGCTGCCATCAGGCTGCCGCTGCCCTCCCTTAAATGATCGTTGAGTTGACCTACAACATCAGCTTTTGGCGCCCACACGCGCCATCGAGCATGGCGCAGCGTCGCAGCGCACTGGCGTTGCTGCTCATGCAGTGCGCCGCGCTGCGCGTGACGCGCTTGAAACTTGTGCGCCGCCTGCCCGCGGGCGCCTGCGCCGTCGCCGCGCCGGCGGCCTTTGCCGACGACCTGATGGACGTCTGCCCGAATTGCCCGCAGGCCGTGAACCCGCTGCCGCTCGCGTCCATCCTCGGCCGCTGGTCGCTGTCGGCGTCGTGGACCGACGCGACGGGCGCGCCGCGCACGCTCGTCGGCGAGACGCAGTTCCGGAGCGTCGGCAAGGCCAACAGCGGCAAGACGTCGTTCGTCCGCGACGAGCCGGGCGACGACCGCGTCGCGGGCGGCGCGTGGTACGAGGTGCCGGCGAAGCTCTACAAGGGCCAGTTCAGCTGGAGCGCGCGCTGGAAGCTGAAGACCGCGGGCGAGACGCTGCTCTTCCGCGGCGACACGTCGACGGGCGACCCGCGCGACTTCCTCGAGAATCGGCGGCCGCCGACCATGGCGGGCGACGTCTTCGTGGAGACCTACGGGCCCCTGGAGGGCATGACGTCGCAGCGACGCGTCGGCAGCTTCAGCGCCGTGCTCCGCGAGTCGTGTTCGGGCAGCGGCGGCGACGCGGCGAAGATCGGCGGCGCCGACACGAGGGCGCTGCGATAGTGTTAAATCCATATTCGCTCGGACACGTCGTCGAAGTTCCGCGCCGCCTGGGGCAGGGCGACGTTGTCGTCGCCGGCGACGGTGTCGTCGAGGTAGCGCCGGGAGCCGTCGTCGATGCCGCCGGAGAGGAAGACGTAGAGGTAGAGCACGAACGACAGCGCGAGCGCCGTGCCGACGGCGGCGAAGGTCCGCGGGTCCGCGGCGCGGTTCACGAGGCCGAACTCCTCGCGGTAGGGGTTCCGCGAGTAGGGCACGTCGCGGCCGCCGCGGACCTCGCGGCGCCGCGCGAACGGTCGGACCTGGCCCGCGCTCGTCGGCGCGTCGCCCTTCGCGGGCGGCGCCCAGCGCGCGGCGCCGAGCTTCGGGGGCGTGTCCATCGGGATGTCGCCGTCGGCCATCTCCGCCGCGAGCCGCTCGGCCTCGGCGCGCCGCGCCTCGATGACGTCGCGCGCCGCGGCCGCCTCGGCCTCGCGGCGCCGCGCCTCGGCGAGGCCGCGCGCGGCCGCGGCGGCGCCGGGCGCGAAGTTGGGCGGCGCGGGGCCCTCCTCCGGCGGGTCCTCCGGCGGCGCTGCGAAGCTGGGCGGCGCGGGGCCCTCCGGCGGGTCCGCCGGCGTCGCTGACTCCTCCGGCGGCGCTGGGTCCTCGGCCTGCGCGGTCTCCTCGCGCAGCGCCGCTGCTCGTCGCAAGAGGTCGGCGATGGCGTCTTCTTTGTCGGAATCGCTGCTGCTGCGGAGCACGACGCTTCTGCGCGTCGTCGGGCGCGTTAGACGCGTCGGCGCGAACGCGACGACACCGCAGATGAGCCGAAGAAAAAGGAGCGCGTGGTACACCATGGCCATGCTCCGCCACAGACTCTGCCGCAAGACTGCACCATCGACTCGCTGAACCCCCGGGTGCCGCGATGGGCGCGAGCGCGTGACCTGCAGCGCGACCAAACGATTAACAACGACCGAGCAAGCATGAAAGGCCACGCGCGCGGCGCGCGCCTGCGGCATCCGCACCAGCGGCGCACGCACCTCATATTGGTCGCGCTCGCCTGCGTCATCGTCGTCCTTAGCGCGTGGCTGATCGTCGTGCTCACGCTCTACTCGGCCCTCGGCGACGCCGCGTTCCGGCGGCATCCGGCGTTGCTGCCGGCGCACCCCTTCGCGAGCTACTTCGCGACGACGGCGTCGCTCGCCGTCGCGCGCGCCAAGGCCATCGCCGCGAACCCGAAGGACTCGCACGCGCTCGACGTCGCGTCCGTCCCCCACGACGTCGGCGGCCGCACGGCCGTCGTCGTCGACGGCGCCATCCCGGAGTCCGAGCGGAAGCGCATCGCCGACACCTACATCAAACTCACGGGCCGCGCGGCGACGGACGGCTGGCACCGCGAGAAGGCGTCGGACGCGTCTTTGGAACACAACGCGATGGCGAAGAACATGCCCTTCGACGAGTGCGACGGCGCCCCCCTCGACGCCATCCGCGCCTTGCTCCCCCACTTCTACGACCAGTGCAGCCCCGCGCGGCCGTCGTGGGTCACGCGGTGCACGATCTACGCGCAAAGCTTCGCGGACGTCGACGAGGCGCACGAGGACCGGTCCCACGACGGCGACGCCTTCTCCGTGACGGCGATCTGGTACCCGCACGAGCGCTGGCACCCGCACTGGGGCGGCGAGACCGTGTTCCTGTCGTCGTCGGCCGGCGGCGCGGACGCGGAGCTCGTACTCCCGGTCCTGCCGAAGCCCGGGCGGTTGCTCCTCTTCGACAGCGAGATCTCCCACATGGCCCAGCCGCCCACGGTCATCGCCGAGCCCTTCGCGCCGCCGATGACCTCGAAGCTCCAGCTCGCGTCGACGCGGACCACGGGCAACCGCTTCAGCTTCGTCTTCCGGACGCTCTGCGGCCGTCGGTCGAGCCGCCAGCTCGTCGCGGACCACGACCGCGACGACGACGGCAAGCTGAGCCACGGCGAGGCCGTCAAGCTCTTCTCGTCGTTGGACATGGGCGCGCCGGAGATGGCGTACCGCAAGCTCGCGGCCGCCGCGCGGCGGCGCCAGGGCGCGGCCGCGGCCGCCGCGGTCCTCGCGGAGCCCGCGGACCTCGACGCGTTCTTCGGCGTCGCCGACGAGCCCCGGCTCCGCGCGAGCTTGAGGGGGGCGGGGACGTAAGTTGCAAGCGTCTCGTTAGAACGTCGCCCGCCGAAGATGGGTGCTGACCAAACATGTAGTACGGTTTGGAACGCAACGAAGAGAGACTATGATCCTCGACGGGACGCGTTCCAGCGGTCGAGGAGGGCGAGCGCGCCGGCGAAGGTCGGCCGGTCGTCGGGGTCCGGCGCGGACATGCGGGCCATGAGCGTCGCGAGCGCGTCCGCCTCCGGGCCCGTCGCGGCGTCCCGGACGGCGCCGAGGATCCAGGCGCGGTTCGCGAAGTCGAAGACGTGCGTCTTGGCCGAGAGCGTTGCGCACGTCCGGTTCGCGGTGCAGTACCCGACGGCCTCGGGCGCGCCGCGGCCCGTGGGCGCGCGCGCGCGCCCGCAGGCGTCGCGCTGGCGCCGGCCGTCGGCGTGCTTCGCGTTGCAGCAGCAGTGGAGCGGCGTCGTCGCGCGGCAGTTC